TAAAGTTATGATAAGTCCATAGTAGTAATAACCTTGAACAAGCTATCTTTAGCAGACTGAATCAAGCCACAGAAACACGATTTGATAATCTTAAAGTTAAATTACTTATTTCTGACATTTCAAAAAAACAACTGATCCATACGTAATTCTTATATCAGACAGGCTTGAAATTTTGTCCAAGAGAATTTTTTTCTTACATCAACATAGGTGGCCTTATCTCTTGAAACTTTTCGTGTAGATACAAACGTGCAAATGTTTATGACTTCGTTATCGATGCAGAAGGCATACTGAACTTTAGGAACAAAAGGGTCTAATATCTGTTCAATTTTGTTTCTTAAAAAATGTGCCCTCACACAATACTTAGCGCGATATATGTATTGAGAACCAGTCACACCATAATTCAAATTACTGAAAGAAAGTTTGCAAAAAAGCTTAATTTTCTAGTTCTTATTGAAACATACCTGAGCTGCATTCGATTCAAATATATTCCTTGATCAGAATATAATTTTTAGCAAACAATCATTACAAGCACTTACATCCCTGACCAAATCTTAGTTCTGATACACTACAAGTATCTTCGCTAATGTATAAAGGGTGAAAGAAAAGTAACCTCAATAAACATCGCGCAAAGATGAACTGAATCAGATTAAAAGGGGATAGGTTGGACTAGACTAGTATTTTGGAATTTGCGAAGGAGCTCTTTCATTAACTTTTCTCTGACGTCACACTCTAACAATAATTAATACGCAAGGTAGGCGTTTTGTGAGAGTTTGAAAGCACAGCGGGAAGTATGTCTTATGTGTAAAGAACAAAAAACTTTCATATAAGGCATTCCTAACAGCAACAACGAAAAATTAGGGTCACTATGATGTAAACACTGTGTCGCGTTTTCTTATTGCAGCACAACTGCAAATCACACTTTGCACCAGAGAAATTTTTACAGTACTACATTGTTTTCCTAATATTGGAAGTGTTCAGATGATAAAACTTACTTGTGATTTTGGGGAGAGGGAGGGAGGGGGTGTAGAACATGCGCTAAACTTTAGAAAGTTGCTCACGTTCGAATAATTGTTAAAGTCTAATTCTAGAATTTTGAGATAAGAAAAAACCCTTATTTAAGGGGAAATAAGACCCTGACCAAAAGACATCCCAAGAGAATTTCGGAAGGAATGCAGACGACACGGCGTTTCTTGGCTGGCATGTGGTCTCTTTATCTGTCATTAAGCTGAGAACATGCTCCTTGACAGATCAAAAAGCACAATAGTTTCGATATGGAAGGATAAAGGCGGTATCGCATACTGTATTCGGAGGAGTATATGAGATACGACCTCAAGCGATCAGAGCCGTCATCCGGTTAAAGCTGCCGGTGCTGCTGGTGCCAACCACACTTTGCGAGATGATGATGAATAAAGAAAAACAAAAAGAGCTACAGGAGGCTCTCCTGATTATGGAGAGGCTTCTGACACGGTACCCTTGATTCATATGGTGGACACTGCGAAAGGATATGTTCTCAAAAGTATAAAATCGATAATTAAAGATGATCTATAACAGAGCCACGGGCCAAGTACACTTCTGCGAGCGGTCAATATCATTGATAAAAATAGACGTAATCAGGGACTAATGGCTCTCTTCTATACTCTTCATCGCAGTCGGTGAGGAAGAACAGTGAGCTCCTCGATATGGGATGATGAGGTTCTGATGGCAGAAAAAAAGGAGATTGAAGAAGAAATACAGAGATGGAGAAACCAATCAGGATCGTATGGCTTGAAGCTCAATAAGAAGATAGAACATATGGAAGAGGGAAGTCAAGCTTCAGAAAGCTATGCCTCGATGACGAGCAATCAAGAGGACGAATACTGTTAAGTACCTAAAAAGTCGCACCTCTGGCGGAGGAAGTCTTTAACAGTGAAAGATGAGCTATCGACCGGGACAAATGCAGTCGGATAAAATGAATATTAAGAGAGTTCGAAACGCAACTCAAAC